GGGAGCGCCCGCGCGCCCCTTCTCTCCCGCACCTTTGCCACACGCCCACCCCGCCCTCTGCGCGCCTCCGACCCAAACCAGAATCAACTGGTACCCGCCCCAGCGCCACCCCCACCCGCGTGGGTCAGAGGCGGCCCTGGACCTGGAGACCTTGACTGCACCTGGGTGGAAGGTTAGGCAAAGACCACCTCTCCACCTTCTCTGCAAAGAGCAGTCAGAAGGGGGAAACTAAATAGGTGGCCTATGCTCTCCACCCCCCCCCCACACCCCCACTTTCCTGGACATGAGGAAGCCGCCTGCCTTTTGGAGCCAGCTGTAATAGAAGGTGGGTTCCCAGGCTCACCGGAGTACATTGTGAAGTCATTCAACAAACACTCTTCTGGATGCTGGGGTCAGCCAAGCAAAGTTCTTGCGCCCGTGGAACTTGCAGGTAACACATCAAGAAATCCAGGAGTGCCTGGGGTACTTGTCTGCGGGGACAGTGCTGCGGAGAAAACAAAGCGGAGTAATGGGTTAGAAATGACTGCGGAGGCGCTGCTTTCTGCGGGCTAGGAAGGGAAAAGCCTCTCTGAAGAGGTGACATCCAAGCCGAGACGTGACCAAGCAGAATCTGGGAGGAGAGGACACCGGTCAGGGAGAACAGCAGTGCAAAGGCCCTGAGCTTATTTGAAAAACAGTAAGTAGAAAGGACAGGAGGAAATAGCTAACCCCACCTAGGGCCGACAGGTTTGCACCGTTCAGCAAGGAATTTGGGGGTGAACGGATAACTGGGCTGAACCAGGTCCTGGAGGACTGTCCAGAATCCTGGACTATGAACTACAATGGATAATTGCTAATAAGTAATACTATGACTCATTATTATCAAGGAACGTCTGGACTATTCTGCCGTATATTTTATGTACTCTCATGATCATACATCACAATCGTAGGTAGGGAAAACAAAGTTTTAATCACACTTTCCAGATGAGGAAACTGGTACAGAAAGGTAACCTGACGGCAACGGGCCAGGGACTCCATTCATTCATTTCCACCTTAAGAGAGAGGTTTGTTTCCCTGGAGAGTTAGCTCTAACTGTGCAAACGCCCTTTTGCAGCTGGAGCCTTCTATCTTTTCATTCTTGTGTCTCTCTCCCTTTCTCTACCAACTCATCGCGTTTAGAAAGAGACCTGAGTGTTTTGGCTATAGAAATAACCAAAAGTTTAGAAGAAAATAAGGACTGAAAATACCGCTGAGAAATGCACAATCAGCCTCTTTCTCAGAAACTCCTCCGTTTACCCTTCAGAGAAGTGACATTGGGATGACCGAAGCGGAACATTTCATCGGAAATGGTGTTTCCAAGAACATTTTAAAAATTCTTTTTATCCATTAAAATGCGTAGCTCTGAGGAAAGGAGCCTAGTTTTCACATTTTTGTCTTGCCCCCTCCCAGCTTTCAAGACCCTTCCCACCTCAGCTCTACAGCCTGACCCACACAGACCTTCCCCGCCCTCAAAGCCCACTCCAGGGCTTTGCCCATTGTTTCCTGGGCTGTGGTTGTATGATTTCCCAACCACACTAGAAGCTCTTTGGAGCCAGAGGTATCTGGCCACACTGCTTTTTAGCCCTCAGAGCACAAAGTGGGGCCCCAGGAGACTTGGGTGTAGGTCCGCCAGCCATCTACTGAGTCTTGAGCAGTGGACACTCAGGAAGCCACTCCAAGGACCAAGGTTGACCGAGGGCATACGTGGTGGATTTGAGAGTTTCACTTATTCCTGTGCGGTGCCAGTCATGTGGAAGGTTTTATAAGCCTTCCCAGACCAAATCCACTTTGGATAAGCATCTTATGTGATAAGATGCTTCTCTTTTTTTCCTTTCACAGTACGGTTTTGTCCAAAATGCCAATGTTTTCTCCAAGGGAAGGCTAGTTTGCCTAGAATATACGTTTGAGGCAGATAACTCGTGCTGAACTTTAAGCAGCATGCTCCTTACAGAAAGCACCTGAGGCATTCGACTCTGGCAGCTACTTAAGGATGTAAGCTCGAGAGTGATCTGATTTTTCCAGCTGAGAGGTAATGAAATCATCTTTTGGGTTAGTTCCTCTCGTTCCCTATCCTAAACTAGTCCACCCAGCATCTTTGGGTCCCCTCTTCCCTTTCAGTTGGGAAGTTCTCCCTAACATCTAACCTGAGGGGACTCCCCTCTGCCTACCCATGTGAGGTCAGCTCGGTCAAGCTGCATGAATCTTTATGCAGAGGAGTCCGGGGTAAACCCTCCCGCAGTCAGACCTCACAGCTGTCCATCCAGATGTCACAGTGCCCAGGGACCTAATAGGTAAGGGTTGCTTTTCCAGGGCCACTTTATAAGGAAGATGGAGCACACCTAGGGTTCATGGTAAGGATGAAGATACTGGCTCTCCCGCTTTTTCTTGACAGCTGAGAACAATGATAAATGTATAAGCCTTGGAAGAACTGAGGAAGTTTCTAAATGTGTCTGGCCCGCCTGCGGACCTACCAGGCTAACCTGGTATTTCCTTTCCTGGAATTTTTTGAGGAAAGGTGATCCCATGACCACCCACCCCCTTGCTATCAAGTTACAGAATGCTGGAGTCTCTGGAAACATCGATGTTTAGAGGTCCCACCTTCTTATCAGTGGGAAAAATAAGGTTCAGGTAGGCGAAGGAATTTTCCCAGCATCTCATGGTCAGCTAGTGGCAGAGCCAAGACAGTGCAGCTGCGGCCTGATCCTTCCCTGGGGCTCTCTCCCACACTCACGGGCCTCTGTCCCCCACCCCAGCACATGAACTAATGCTTGCACGTTGGCCATGGAAACCCAGCCACTCACATTCCTGGATCCGCATTTCAGATCTGAAGATGAGTTCGTTTCAGGGTATTTGCAGTGACGGGTGTGAAGAATTTCACCTATACCGACTGACCAAATAGTTGTGATAATAATCCTCCCCTCTGCCCGGCATGGCCGGGTGAGCTCATTAGAATGAATACCGCCCTCTGCTCCTCAGAAGTTTATCTCTTCTGCGTCTCATTTTTTCCTTTCCAAATTATTATCTAACGCCTTTTGAAAACATTCCAAGCATATTGCTGGAAAGAGACACATGAAAACTTGCTTGTAAAAAAAGACCAAAGAGCTGAGATTTGTCCCAAAAGTCGCTGCAGAAAACAGTTGTGTGTGTGGACAAGTGACCTCACCTCTCCAGGCCTCAGTTTCCATTTTTATTGGATGAAGATATAACTCAGTGGTCTCCAAGATCCCCCACTGGCTCGAAAAGTCTAAGATTTCATGGAAAATTCTCTAGGACAAGGTGAGTGTTGCTAAAGGGATGACAGATCTTATCATTTAAACAGGTTTGAGGCCAATCGAACATGCCCAAGACTGAAGTGCAGCTGTCAATCTGTCAATCAATGGTTATCGGGTTCTTACTCTGATCTCCTCCAAGACCGAGACTGAAAACAAAGACAGACGTGCAGGCATAGGAGAGACTGAGGTCTTGTTTCTGATAGAGCCCTGTTGTAATTGATTGTTTTTCTGTCTGTTTGCCTCTTGGATCATAAGCACTCAAAGATGAGAAAGTATGTCTTTTACTGTCTCCATGCATTATTTCCAAACTTTATTGAACTCCTATGTTGTGTTCAGATCGCAGCTTAAATGTCACCTTCTCCAGGAAGCCTTTTCTGATTTCCCTCCCATCTTCATCAACTCTCTCAGCACCTGTGTTTCCCCACAGCACCTTGTGCGTCTTCTTTCCTTCCTGAACTTTGAGTCCTTTGAGGACAGGGATCAGGTGTTGGTAACAAAGTCAGTAAGAACTGGTTGAATGAGTGTTGGCCCCGCCAGCCCCTTCCCAGTATTTAGGTGGGCAGGTGGAGCTCACAGAGCCCTATCCCTCTGTCCAGTGCTAGGGGGCGCTGTAAGCCAGAGAACACCCGGTCCCTGGGCCTGCAGCCTCAGCCAGCCTCACTGAAAAGGCGGAGCGGCTCAATTCCACACAGTGGGGTGCAGGGGCCCCTGAGTGGGTGAAGCTAACCCCTCCCGGCTGCAATACCACAAAGCTCTCAGTCAGCATCCCGTCTGAGCCCGCAGCTGCCCAGCTTCTCCACCCTCACGCTGGCCACACGTCAACTCGAGGTGGAGACCTGCTCTTGGGAAGACAGAATACTTGTGAATCATGGGGTTTGGGGGAATCGGGGATCTGGGAACACAGCAGAGGATGCCACGGTCCCACTCTTCCTGACCTGGCCTCTGCAAATGAAAGCTGGAGAAGGTGCTGACAACACATGTATTGTTTCTGTTGCCTCATAGAGGAACACCTCTCCCCCCCGCCCCCGCTTTTCCTCTCCAGACCCTACCCACAGTGCCTTCCCCCAAGCCCACAGCCCATCTGAAAGTCATTACATTCAAAATAGCCTTTCCCAAGCAACAGACG